AATGAGAAGATTTAGCAGCTGCTTTCTTGGTAGTGAAGCTGTAGATTTCTTATCAGAAGATCAATATTTAGAGAGAGATGAGGTACGATATCAACTGCTGCTTATTAATAAAACAACTTCTAGCAATGCTGTATGCAGAACTCAGCCCCATATAGCTCTGAAACAACATTAATCTTATGTCCCTTTTTCAGTTGGCTATTGGTGGAAAAAAAGTACTCATAACTGTATCTTTGAAATGATTTCATTCTTTGGAAAGAAAAATATCCATTTTATTTTGTTCCTATAAGAATATAGTTTATCTTTGAAGGGATACAGAGGAAATTAAATTTAGTTATCACTTTCCAAAAACTCACCGATATATATTTTCCATGTAGGCGGTGGAATTTGGAAGAAAGCTTGCAAGCAAATATTTCTATCGCCATGTTTTAGAGTAAGTTTTGGAAATTATCTTATATAATATTCTTTTCGTTTTATTTTTTTTTCCATACATATCAATTTGCAATATTTACATCTGGCATTCTGACTTTGCAGCGAAGATGTATTTGAAGATGGAAATCACTTGTATCGCTTCCTGGATAATGATCCCATAATTATGAGCCAGTGCTACAACATCCCTAAGGGTATCATTGATGTTGAACCGAAACCAATTGTTGAAGTGGCATCAAGGTTAAGAAAGTTGTCTGAAACCATGTTTGAAGCTTATGTATCTGAAGATGGTAAACATGTTGACTACAGAAGCATCCAGGGTTGTGAAGAATTTAAAAGGTTAGCACTTAGAACTATATGCTCATTGTCAAAGTATACTGCATAATCAATGTATTTCTTGCCAGCAGATATTACTGTGAACAATGTTGTATTGCTCTAGTTGGCTAATTTTAATTGATACAGATGTTTAGGTTCATAATGTGAGCTGGCCTTGAATATGTATATCAGTTTATTTTTATAATGTTATGTGATATACAAATATAATATATTTCAGTTGTTGCGGTTATCCTATTGTGATGGTTGACGGGTATGCTGTACTAACATATTTCTTGCATAGGTATGTTAGAACAACTGAGGAGCTCCAGAGGGTGGAAACCCATGAGTTATCACGGGAAGAAAAGCTCGCTTTCTTCATAAATCTCTACAATATGATGGCTATCCATGCATTAGTGACATGTGGTCATCCTGCTGGACCATTGGACAGGAGAAAGTTCTTTGGAGATTTTAAGTATGTCATTGGTGGATGTGCTTATTCAATGTCAGCTATTCAAAATGGCATACTGCGTGGTAACCAAAGGCCACCATACAACCTTGCCAAGCCTTTTGGACAGAAAGACCAAAGATCCAAGGTGAACAGAGCAGATCTCAGCCAAAAAAAGGGGAAACAAAGTTCTCTGATATGATTGCTTTGTTTCCCCCCATATGTCATGATAATACCTGTAGCCCTCTTAAAGTTTTTGTCTGATATATTTCCATTATACCAAGCAATGCTACTTAATTCTACAATTGCCTCCAGGATATATATGTTTGGAAAAAATGTGTATCAGCTATTATGTTTGGAAATTGCTTTACCTGTCTAGGGTCTATTCTGCAGTTCTTCTTAGGTAGGCAGCTGAAGGGGTATATGCTTGATGCGTTATGTGGATGTCAAAAAATCACTAAAATGACACGTACCATCATGGCTAATTTTCCTATCATTTATCCCCCGATTTTCTGAGTAAAAAGAAAACACTTTTCTCATAAACATGTATTGTATCTGTTGTTTCGGAAACATACAATTTTACTAGTATTTTCAGGCCACATTATATAAGTGAAGACCTTGGGCATTTAGAGCCTAATTATTAGTTAGAGGAAAGGAATATAGAAGGCCCGTTGTATATTTGATTTATTATCTGTATGTGTTTTTGGGAGCCATAGCCTAGCGGTCATGGTGCTCAAGTAGCACCTCTAGGTCCTAGGTTCGACTCCCCATGGGATCGAATTTTAGGTTTGGTTAAAAAAGGTCACTCGTTGTCACTGGCCCCTTTAAAACACATGTTTAGAATTGACCTATGGAGGGCGGGCCCTCGTGTACGGGTTAAGGACCGACCCATACGGGGCAAGTCCGTGTGTGAGGGGCCAGGGTTCGTAGTCTTTCTCGGCCGATTTGGTTGAGGCTTCCTATTCTTAATGAAAAGCCATAGGGGTGGTCATTCCCCCGCCACCGCCAGTCGAGGTGTTTTTTTTCTTTTTCTTTCTGGAAGTCAGATTTAGGATATTTTTTAAAAGGTAAAAGTCTGTTTATAGAAGTCGACTACTATGCTGTAATGGTTGTTTTCAGTACCTATTTGCCAAAAATAGCCATACGAAGTGGCAACAGCCTTTACCATATCTGCAATATAATACGGGTTACATCCCATTGATCAATCCCCATTCACTGGTTACATGCATGAGTACTGGCTTTAGCAGCATTTCTTTGAATCATTTTTTTATTACTCCCAATTAATTAATTCATCAAACTTACATGTCAGACGTGAGTTTGCACCAATGCTGATTTTCCAATGATGATAAATTCTCCTTTTTTCCTTGTCTGTAATTTGCAGGTGGCCCTTCCATATGCTGAACCTCTTGTTCACTTTGCTTTGGTATGTGGGACCAAATCTGGACCTGCACTTAGGTGTTACTCGCCAGGAAACATCGATAAAGAACTGGTGGAAGCTGCACGTGATTTCCTAAGAAATGTAGGAATTGTTGTTGATCCTGAAGCCAAGGTTGCATCTGTAAGCAAGATTTTGCGATGGTAAGAACACTATTATTCTTGCTTCGCAAATAGGGCCTTGAGAGTTTAATAAGTGCTTTCTTATTAGTGTACCCCATCTAAACTTGTCATCAGAATGTACAACTGCAGGAACATATACAAGAATGAATTTTATGTTAGGTAGTTTAGTTCATGATGCAGGGACATAAACAACAACGAATTTTATGCTAGGTAATTTAAATTGTTTTTGAGCCTTCTGGTTGGAGAGAAAAAGTAGATAACACGTACCACTAGTGCCTGCTAGTTTTGGGCTACTTGAATATACTCTATGGTTAACCTAGCAGCAAAACCAGAAAAATCTGTTAATTACCTGGCTTAGCAGTAACCCCTATCATAGATCAGAACCACCTGAAAAGTTCTGTACAATTTATAGTTACCGCATCTTACTACAAGAGTACAAGGTTAGGTGTGGCTTTGTGGGAGGCATGAAGACCATTGAAGGCTAGGTTCTGATGTCGAGCACCTATAGGTCACTGATTTTATTTTCTCATTTCCATAAGAAGTCCAAATTGGAGTGTGAAAGTTTTGAACAAAATACTTTAGATAATGTCGATAAGGCCTGGATTTCAAGAAAAAAACATTTTTCTCTAATCTGCTCTCGGTATAAATTGTATGTGAAAAATGGTGAGGAATTCCCCCAAAATGGTTACCCAATTTTTAGCTCTTGCATGGTTACATGAGCAAGACTAATGGAAGAATGTGAATTCACTGGTTAATCAATTTAAGAAAATAATAATATGCAAATTTTATCCATTTTACTACATTATACATGATACTCCCTCCGTCCCCTAATATAAGGGATTTTGACATTTTGCTTACACTGTTTGACCATTCGTCTTATTCAAAAATTTTTGGAATTATTATTTATTTTTTTGACTTAGTTTATTATCTAAAGTACTTTAAGCACAACTTTTCGTTTTTTATATTTGCACAAATTTTTTGAATAAGACGAGTGGTCAAACAGTGTAAGCAAAATGTTAAAATCCCTTATATTAGGGGATGGAGGGAGTACATCATAATTCGATATGCAATTGGGGAACTTGTGGCAATGAATAACTGAAAGGAAAATAAAATGGCTACATATTTGTAATGGTGACATTATTATTATTTGGCCAGTGCTTTAGTAAGAAGTTTCTCATCTGAAGCTCATTTGGTAAATAAATAATTTTTCAGGTATAGCACAGACTTTGGTAAGAACGAGACGGAAGTGCTGAAGCATGCGGCAAATTATCTGGAACCAGCAGAGTCGGAGCAATTCTTGGAACTACTTGCGAACACTCAACTGAAAGTCTTGTATCAACCCTATGACTGGAGCTTAAACATTTAGCTGCAGCCATGGTATTCACATAGATGTCTAGTTATACTTGAATACCTGTCACAGATACTCGTGGAAGATCACGACTTCTTTTACACCAGAATTTTCCCAAGAGTTGGTCACAGCTCTGGATGCTGTTTTGTTGTGGCACAAAGAAATGAGTACCAATCCAACTCTGTTCGATTCACTGGACAAAATGTGTGCCTTCCTTGTTTCTTTTGGACGTTCTCTGTTGCGGCCATTCGTTTTTTTGGCGGTGAATAGCTGAATGATTTGTGATAGCCTTTCAAGGATACACACGAATGAATTAGCTAGTGTTATAAAGTTAAAATTGGATTTAAAATAGTTTTCCAAGAAATTCAAAATATACTAGTAGTAGAAAGTTATTTTTTTTCTTTTTCCAAAAAAATGCTCAGGAAGCGTGTTGCCATTCCATTCAGAGGAAGCGTGTTGCCATTCCATTCAGAGGAAAAGTAGAGCCATGCTTCTGGTGTCCAGGAATGTGTCGAGTCATATGCTCCTAAATATGCACGCGTGCTGATTGAGTAAGAGCATGCTGTGAATGCTTGTGCAGAAGTACGCATTGCCAGGCTCACAGGGTTTACAAAACCATAAGCTTATCAAGTGCGGTAATCTAAGTTTTTGAAGAAACGGTATATCTCGCGGGGTTTACAAAACCTTAAAATTATCATGTGTGGTAATCTTAGTTTTTAAAGCCACGGTATATCTCGCGATAACCATACAGTTACCATGATAACCGTTAAACCATAGGGTGGCAGTAACCTCACCCAAACCTGCCACCTCACCCAAACCCGAACCGTTTTGGCAAACGCTGCAGCCAAGTAGCAAAGTCAAGAAAAAAAGTCAAAGAGAAACAAAAATAAAAAAAAGAACACATGTGCCAACTGCCAAACCAAACCCTTGGACGTTTTCATCCACCTCTGAACCAGATCAATGTAACTTTACAGAATTTACATGCGATATGCATGTGGTATACAACTATATATAAGTAGCAGCAACCGAGAGAATAGCATCTCGACATTTACTACCAGTAGTATATCATATGTATAGACGCAAAGTAGCAGCAGATCTCGTTTCCCTTATCCTACTCACGTCTAAAATCACAGCGGCACAGCAAGCATCCAGGTCTCCGTTGCCTCCTGCACACTTGTACTCGTCACAAAAGGTTTTACGGCCGAGAGGCCCCTATGAACACTCACAAAAGTCACAGGAAAACTTCACCATAACAAAGCGGACATGGCCCAGTGCTAAAAACTGCTAACCAAATTCTCCCTAAATTTCGAAGAATAAGTGCATGAATCGACGACGATTGTTAAAATGAACTTGTAATCGCTGTGAACTTGGGCACCAATGTACACATTGCAGCTGGCATCGACGTCACAATATTGTGCATCCACATCCGATCCGCTCGGGTGGTCGTGCTTTCGGCGGCTGCTTCACTGAAGAAAGAAGATAGCGGATTGTAAGTATCTAACTATAGAGTAGTTTTATTCGGAACATATGGAATAGAAGTAAAGATACAATGCATTCTACTAATGTAAGACCATTGTCTGTAGTGTACAATATGAATATCACGAAGTTGTTTTTCTGAAAACAATGAACATGCACTCTGAATTCTCAGAATAATACCCGTTCACTAGATGAAATGCCTCACAGTAACAGTACTGATCTCTAACAAGAAGAGGGATTTCTCAAAGGGCTTATCAAAAGATAAGTTATGCATATTCCAAATACTTCATCCTACTACACTAGACAGATTAAATCATATCACTGATGAGTGATGAACTACCAGGAACTCATCATGACGTCATAATTTGATTACGGAGAACACTCCAAGTTTAGTCAAATTCGACTCTGCCTTCCCTATCAACCTAGAACATACCCGCTCAGGACTGACTGCACTTTTGTTCGAGAGTTTGACCCAGCAGCTTGTGATGATCAACAAAGGCATTTAAGTCTTTTTTTTTTTTAACAAAACTATGCATCACTACATCAAGTAACATCATTTAAGTGCAATGATAAAAGCTAATAGTCTCCAATCACATGTGGTCTCCTTGATTTTGAGGGGGGGAAAAGCACTGCAAGTTTAGTAAAATCCAAAAGTTGCTAATAGCCCCCAACAATCAACCAACGTGTGCCGTATAAGAGAAAGTGTACACATACAGCATACAAATAAACTCCCCTATTGCTTTAGGAGTGCGACAGTAAGAACTACGAATGTCAGGATAAGAAAAGGAAGGGCACACAGTAATGATTTCTATTTGAGACACCCTGATATCATCAACAAACATCTGGAAAATAACTATAACAAATAAGAGGAAAAACATAGTACCCCTTCTCTCGGGTCGACTTCTGCGCACAACAACATGCATTGTGATCGGACCTTCTGGAGATTCTGCTGCTAGGTTTCGAGACTCAGCAAGGGTTCTGTTATTCTCTAGTACCTGTCCAGCATTGATGATAGTCACATCATTAACTGTTCTTGGAGCTATTTCTTTACCTGCCAACAAATGTAACAAGAAAAAAATGTTAAAGACAATGAACAAAATATACCACATAACGCTTCTGAAAGACAAACAGTTGAAGGCAATATTCAGAGAAAATGATGCAGATGCAGCACTTGCAGAAACAATAATAGCAGATTCCATGGAAAAGTAAGAGGAGAAACTCCAAAAACTAATTCGGTGCATCTAATTCAAGGATAACTCTACCATTGAAGCATGCTCCTTTGTTGGGAGGTGTTATTTACTGACTTATCCAGGAGCAGGAAGCATGCTCAGAAAAAAAAAATCTACTACCTCAAAACCTCCATCCCAAAATATAATAGCTTTTGGTGAATCTAGATAGACAATTGTCCAGATTCATAGCTAGAAATGCTTATATTTTGGGATGGACAGAGTACCTGTATATTCTACTGATCCTGTCAAATGATGTATCACTGTAGCAGATGAGAACTGGAGCTAAGGGTGTAAGTGGGTTCGCGGGTCGACCCACTTACACCTCTGCCTCTTGTTGCCACCAATTACTTATTTCTTGTGTAATATATTTCGAGCAAACATAGGTCAATTTGCATAAAAGCAATACAGTGCTTGTCTAGTTACCAGACAATCACAATCGGCGAAAGTGTAGCTACACATGACACTTTCTATGTGCCCACATGTTTATTGTGGTCCAGAGTACAATGAGATGCCTAAATGCACTCCACATTTACAGCTAAAAGCTTAACTCGGTTATACTTGATGAAATGAACAACATGGCCATCCTAAAGCAGATTCACCAAAGCACTGGCTGGCCTAATATTCAGTTGTTTAGAACTCAATCTGGACCACTAAACTCAGTATGCCTAAATGCCAAGGACGCCACAAGATCCATATTATCTACAGAAGAAGTCATTCCAACACATGTTTCATACAAGATCCAAAATGATTTCATGGCACTAACAATTGCAATCCTATTCCATCACATAGCTATAGTGGGTACATAGAAAATAACTTCTGCTTGCCTCTTTAAGCAGTGAAACCAAGGGGAAAATCCCAAGCAGAAGAGCATAGCAACTGACAAGAACTTCATAGGTAAATGCTGCCATGTTTGCTAATACGGGTAAGGACACGTCTAAAAGAATCAATCAATACTTTCTTTCTTTGTCCAGGTATTCCAAAATTGCAATAGCAATTATCTCAGAAAAGAAATATCGCATTCGCAAGCAAGAAAACTGCACCTACCCAGCGCCAAGAACAAGAACAGAAGAACCACGCAATCCACGGAACAACCTGATCGGAAATTAGTAGCTTATCGCAACACCAAGAGCAAGAACAAACTCCCAAAATCCTAACCCCAACATCAACCTACGCCCAAGAAAATAGCGACAAGACACCGCGCTTTAAAGCTTCTGCTTATCACAGGATTCACAGCACGAAATGCTACTACTACTCAGCGCAAGAACAGAATAATCACGCAATCCGCAGAACAACCCGATGAGAAATTGGAAAACCTATCACCCACCACGCCTAGCGCAAGAATAAACTCCCGAAATCCTAACCCCAACATCAACCTACGCCAAGAAAATCGCGACAAGACACCGCGATTTCAAGCTTCTGATTATCACAGGATCCACAGCGCGAAATGCTACTGCTACTAACCCAGCGGAAGAACAAAAACAACCACGCCGCAATCCACAGACCGAGCCGATCAGAAATTGGTATCCTATCACCACCACGCCAAGAGCAAAGAACAACTCACAAATCCCAACACGACACCGAGAAACTCGCGACCCATAACACCGCTTCTTCTTCCTACCGGATTGAGTCAAGACGAGCGACCAAACAAGAGCAGCAAGCCAGCAACCTCCCGAAATACAAGCGCACACACACGCAGTCGCAGACGCAGAGAGAGAGAGAGAGAGAGAGAGAGAGAGAGGGGGGAAGGAAATGGTGGGTGGGATCGAATCGGGGGTCTCACCCTGCGGCCACCGAGCGAGGACGAACTCCTTGAGCGCGGTGACGGTGGTGGCCTGGTCGTGCATGCTTGGCCCGATGTCGGAGCCGTCGTCCAGCCGGAACCTCACCTCCACCGCCTCCATCCCGCCGCCGCCGCCGCCGCCGCTGGCCATCTCCCTCTCCCCCCCGGTGTGCTCGACCAAGATCCCACCAACCGCAGCCTCAGCAGCAGCCGCCGCCGCCGCCGCCGCAGGAGGAGGAGGATGAGCTCGCCGAGAATCCGCGCGCGGCGAGGATGCGGATCCCGCCGCGAACGCGATGGATCGATTTCCTCTCGAGGAATTTCTTCTTCTTCTTCTTCTTCTTCTTCTTCCTCCGCGAGGAGGCGAGCGGGCGAGGCGAGGCGAGGAGGAAGAGTGGGATTCGGTGGCCTTTTTGCAGATTCACCCTCGATTAGTTGGGTATTTATTCTTTGGGGGAGGTGGGATTCCGGTAGCAGGTGACAGCTGTAACATATTTTTGGTAGCGTGGTAGGATTCGCGTGTGCGCGTCACATTTTTCCTTCGTTATACAAAGACGCGCATGCGCATATGTGAATGTGCAACACACACACACACACCAATGTGAATACACCGCACGTACTCCCTCTTTGTAAAAAGAAAGAAAAAACACAATCCTAACTATGATTCAGGTTGGTAGCTAGAATTATTTTTCTTTCTTAACGAAGTACTAGTATGGATTAACGAGTGTACTTGACACACGCTCGACAGATGAAGCGGCGGTTGAAAACAATAAATATACTGCACCATTACGTTGTTCGTTTGTCCTATAGATAGATTATCGTAGCGTCATTACGTTTCCGTTGTATTTGGAATATTTAATTATTACGTGAGAAAAGAATCACAACTCTAAATAGAACCTTCCTGCGCATGGGCGAAGCCAGTATTTAGAGTCACTCCCTATTTATAGCGGGAGTCAAGAGTCAAGAGAGAGAGAGTGTGTGTGGGGGGGGGGGGGTAAGGAGTGTGCAGTGTGCATACTGACCCTTTTGCTAGTAGAGTTGTGATGGGACTAGCAGCAAAGCCAGAATTTAAGGATTAGAGAGCCGGTTGCCAGACTAGTGTGTTGGATGAACCCACTGGTGGCTCGGCGGACAACAGAGTGGAAGTTTGGTTGGTGCCATGTCATGGTGATCAGATGCAAGGGCAAAAAACCATAAACTTACATATTATGATTTGCGTATCGGTGGCTTGCCGGTTCTGCACCTACAACATGGCAACTTTTGTCGATCAATCACCTTCTCAAACGGTATGATTGGAATCTTGGAGGTTTGGAGAGATAACGACATAGTGAGAGACAATCAGCGCCATCATGTTGAAGAAGCAAAATCTTTGGAAAGTGGCGATCTAATTAATTCAAATAACGACCGGATGATCAACAATGCACCACTTATTCATACCATCAGAGGTAGAGAGAGGGGGCAACGAGCAAGGGGAGTGTGCGTTGTGCGTACTGCCCCTCTTACTAGTAGAGATGTGATGGACAGGGAGCAAAGCCAAAATTTTAGGATTAGAGGGTCTATCATGAGACTAGTGTGTTAGGAGAACTCACCAGTGGCTCGACAGACAACAGAATAGACGTTTGGTTGGTGCCATGTCACAATAATAAAATGCAAGAGCAAAAAACAAGAACTTACATATTATGATTTGCATATCGGCGGCTTGCCGGCTCTACATCTACGAAGTGGCAACCTTCGTCTCGAACAGTCACCCTCTCGCATGGTATGATTGGAATCTTGGAGGTTTGGAGAGATGGCGACATAGTGAGACAGTTAGCTTCGCTAAGTTGAAGGAGCGACATCTTTGGAAAGCAACGATCTAATTGATTCGACGATAGGATGATGAACAACACACCACCTATGTATACCCTAAGAGGTGGAGAGAGGGGGCAACAGGCAAGGGGAGTTTGTAGTTTGTGTGATGGGACCAGGGGAAAAGCTATAATTTAAGAATTAGAGGGGCCAGTCGCGAGACTAGTGTGTTGGGATCATGTCAGAGTGGATGCATAGTTGGTAGCAAGTTGAGGTGGTCAGATGCAAGAGCAAAGAACAAAAACTTACGTGTCATGATTCGCATATATACGGCTCTACACCTATAGAGTGGTAGCCTTCATCTCGATCAGAATCTCGAATATTCGGTGAGACGACAAATGCCACGATAGTAAGACACAATCGGCTTTGTCATGTCAGCCTTCAAAGGGGTACATGTCGTGTGCACCAACCCTTGAATAAATCATGTATCTCAATGTCTCCCATCTCCTATTCTCAACTCTGGTATGCTACTATTGAACTGATAGGTATGTAAATGAATATATCCACAACTAACCTACATGAGTAGGCAATATTCCAATATACATACTCACCCATAGCCATCAATCAACGAAAGAAAACACAAGAAGGCTCATGGTAGAACTAGTCACTACTGAGTACATAGTGATTTGCAAATTGAAAACATTTTCTTCAGGGGTGGGCCAAGTCAGGATGGGGAGTGCCAGGCCCTCCTCGTCACCCACGGTGGTTTCGGCACAATTTCTAACTATACTCTATTTAGTTTACAATCGTAAATTGCACTCCACACTCAGTAAATGTTGACTAAGTTTCGTTATACACTGATTTTTGGTACTCCACTACTTTCACTTTGTAGCAGGGTGAAGCAAAATTTGCTGGGATGACAAACAAGTATAGCAATTGTATTACAACATTTTTAATGACGATGTTTCTTAGCAAGAAGGTACATAATTCTTAGATAGATAAAAGAAGTAATTTACAACTAAATGAAAACTATTAATTATTTGTACCATTTCTTTCACCTTTCATTTGAGACCGTGTATGGGTGTATGGCACTAAGTTCATTAAAATTACACGTGAGATAAGGAATAGTATATGTTCCATTTACATTGACCCTGTAGATTTGGTCCATAAGATGTGTGTGTGGACACGCACACGGCTACGAGATCGATGGCCAACAATAGTGCATATATAGGTCAATCCTCTAGACCAAAATAAGCTTAATTACATGGTATGACCAGGAGCGTAGAGCAAGGCATCATTCACCGTATATAGCAAGGCCATCTATAGCTACACCAAGCTTTGTAAAATTAATTATATGCTGGAAATATATCTTACCTTTTTCTTAATACAAAACGTGGAAAAGAGAATGAGATTGTCATCTGTGTATTCTCTGTTTGTTTTGAGAAAGGAATTTGATAGGGCATCATAAACGAGAATGTAAAATTAGAGCCTAACTAACGTGACATGGTCTTCAATTTTTACAACCACAAGGAAAATTAAATCATAGATTCACTAAAAAAGCCCATTCTAGGTATTGATTATGGTTGTGAAACTAAATAACGGATAGTAGGTATTAGATTGGCCACACAATTTAAAATATTTATGTGAATATGTACTATACACTTTAATGTGCTTAATCTAACATTGAGATAAACATATTGGCATATGGTATAATAAGCATATATATTTAAAGAGAGTTAACAATGCTTTAGAATTTTTTAAGTACTTATCTCTTAGCCTACGAACTTAATTATATAGAGCATGCTATATCGGCTATTACCACCACTATTGTGGCTACTATGTTCCAAACGCTAGCTATTTTGAACTGTTGTATTGTTGTGGTGGCCTCAGGATCCCATTATCACTAGTACAACGATTTACCACCACTATTTAATATTCGATATAGCTATGACACGACAGGCTGTAAAATTCACTACAGTAAAGTCAATAAATCAAATCTCTGATCCATCTATCATAGACACATCTGGATCAGACAACTCTATTAGCAAGAGGGAGGTAGCTAGGCACAATGTGTCGTCCCTAAAAATCCTATTAAAAGCACATGTGTGTGTAGTGGCAAATCCACCATCCAGTGACCCTAAGGAGCCACCCAGACTTGCTAGATGGATGCACAATAGAATTCAAGTGTTTTTGATGAGCCGTAAACAAAATTTTCATAGCAAATAGTTGATATAATAGAATTTGCATAGGCTCCAAAATATCTTTGGATCCGCTACTGTTTCGTATGCGATTAAGGATATTAGATTTGGAAAGTGGTAATGCACCCGCTATGCCACTAGGAAGTAGGCACAACTCTAGTACTCTACCACCACGCTCAGATGCTCTAGCTTTCCCTTGGTATATCAAGAACATTTTAATTTTTACATGACAAAAAGAATCATAACTTTAAATAGGGCCTTTCTAACTATGTGTACTTCATTTAGCTTACAATTGTAAATTACACTCGCACATGTACGATATGTTTCGTTATGCACTTATTTTACTAGCACTTCACTACTTTCAGTTTGTATCTGAGTGAATCATAATTTGTAGTGATAACAGATAAGCAAGCCAATTGCCAAAGGAGTGTATTACAACATTGTTGGTGATGACATTTTTGAGCCAGAAGGTACACTGGTAAACTAGGATTTTCTACTTAATTCTTATACATGAATAAAAGAAATAATTCGAGACTAAACGATATATGTTCCACTTTTTTTTTATCTTATTCACCTAACACCATGTATGGCACTAAGTTCATTAAGCTTGCATGCAAGATAAGGAATATGTGTTCCATTTATGTATCCTCAGTATATATGCCCAAAAGGCGTGTGTGGACACGACCAGCGCAACTGCTAAGATCGACATTGTTGATCCTCTAGAACAAATAAGCTTACAACATTCAACAATGCCAAGGTGTGATCATGAGCACGTAGAGCAAGAGGCATCATTCATCGTACTCCCATATAGATAGAACACCAAGCTTTGCAAAATTAATTATGCTGGCAATATATATTGCCTTTTTTTTCTTATACAAAATGTGGAAAAGAATGAAACCGCTATTCATGTTTTCTCTATGTTCTTTTAAGAAAGAAACATGATACGACAACATGAACAAGAGAACATAGCTAGTGTTAAGGAGACTAGTGTTAACGACAAAATTTGGTAAATCATAGATTGGATCCGAAGTCAGAACCAAAGTGGATTTGGAGGAACTTGATAATCATGGAAACATAACCTGCATCGGCTACGGGTTGCAACGGCTACCATCTGCATCAGCTGATACCGAACCAGATAGGGAGAAGCCGATGTAGCCGATCCCGGTGAGACAATCATGGTATCGTTGTTAGGATCGGTTCAAGTGCTACACAAGTATTGCCAAGCATAGATTGAGTCCGGAGAAGGCAATTGCATCTATTAATTAGGATATTTCGATAGTTTCCTTATAGATATTTTCGTTAAGAGCCCGCCTAAGGGACTTGTTCGTATTTTTGAGTTGTAATAGAGATAGAGTCGTGTCCGGCAAGGACATATCATGTATTTTGGGTATAAATATGACCCGAGACCCTGTAAACAAAAAAATTGAAAGTTCAATACACTC